CGGAACGCTTGTCGGAAGCCCAGCGGCAGCTCCACTGCTGTGCGCACGACTGGGCTCGCGACGGAGCTGGCTGAGCCCACGCTTCGCGCAACACTCTCCTTATCGCCGCACTGCATGCAAGCGGCACGGGTGCTGCTGGGCCTTGCAGCACGATCGCCTTTCGCTCCACGGGTCCTCGATTCCAGGGCACGTCCCCCTGGGCTGGCCGCAAGATCTCACCGGCCTTATCTGGAGCAGCTTTGCAGTGGTGATGTCGATGTTTCCTTTATGGCCACACAGAGGAAGCAGCATGGCCACACGCGGTTGCCAGGCCTGGGCAGAGGTCGCTCCCTCCCCCTTTTATTTTCTTTTTCCCATCTTTGGAGCCCACTGAGTGAATCGGTTAATAATAGCGGTTGTTAACATTCCTCCCGAAGGACCGCAGATGGCGTGCTTTGCTGGGCCGGCTCAGGCTGGTGCTGAAGGAAGGGAGCTTTCTCTGGATTCGTTATCACTCCCCCTCTGATGAAGACTCCCGTTCAACTTGGAAAGCTGGCTGGCTTCCGCACTGGACTGGCCGGCCACATCATTTTCCGCTTGGGTATATTTAACCACTTTTGTCATTCAAACTGAGTACTAATTTTCTCAGTTTGGAAAGATACTTTTGGAGTTGTCTGCTGCCCCTTTTTATTCCAGCCACCCTGACAATGTTAGCATCTTCAGCAAACGTGGCTGCCTCACTGCTCACCCTGGCAATTGATAAAGGACCAGTGAGAACCTTTGAGGGACGGCCCTGCCTTCATTCCCCCACTGCAAGTTTTCTGTACAATTCCACTAGATCACCCCTATCCACATGCTTATATATTTATTTATTTAAAGCTTTTCTAACCCGTCCACCACTGAGATCTCAGGATGGCTTACAATAAAAGAGCAAACAAAATAAAGCAAAACAAGCACAGCATCCGACAACTCGGGATAATAAAACCCCAGTTAAAACCAACTAGACATTAAGATAATGGGAAAATAAAAAGGTTTTCACCTGATGCTGAAAAGAATATAATGTCAGCGCCAGGCAAACCTCTCTGGGGACCAAATTCCACAGTCGGGGCGCCACCGCAGAGAAGGCCCTGCTCCGGGTAGCCACCCTCCTGATCTCCTTCAGGGAGGGCTCCCGGAGCAGGGCCTCTGCTGCAGATCTTAGGGGGTGGGAGGGCATGTGAGGAAGGAGACGTTCCTTCAGGTATCCTGGCCCCAAGCCGTTTAGGGCTTTGTAGGTCAAAACCAGCAACTCGAATCGGGCCTGGACTTCAACTGGTAGCCAGTGAAGATGGTAAGGGGCCTGTGCAACATGCGCATTCTTCCCGGCCCCTTTAGCATCCTGGCAGCTCTGCTCTGAACCAGCTGACGTATCTGCACTGTCTCCACGGGCAGCCGCTTGTGGTCAGCAGTGCTGCGGACTCGAGTTGAGCAACCTGCTCCCAAGTCCAACGTGACTCAGGGCAGCCACTTGCGTCGGACTCGGCTTGGCTTGAAATGCCTGCCTTTTTTATGACCGAGTCGCTCCAGGCGCACCACGCGGCAGGATAGCCTGGAAGACAGGCAGGAATAAAACAGAGGCAGCGGGAGGGGGGAGTTTCAAGGGGGTGAGGGCAGGATGGAGAGGAGGGTGTTGCAAGAGGCGGAAGGGAAAGCTTCAGCTCTTCTTTCTGGCATGAGGGGAGTGGTGGGACAGGGACAAGGGGGGCAGCGGAGGGGGTGGCTCTTGGGACTTGAGAAGATACTTGAGACTCGACTCGAAAAACGCTTGCAGTGACTTTGGACTCGACTTGGAGTCAAAAGCAAAGACATGAGACTTGGCTTGGGACTTGGAGCAAAGGACTTGAACACTTCACTGGCTGGCAGTGTAAAAAGATAGCGCAACAGGCTGTTCCTTTGCTGAAGCCATGCTGATTCTTCTTCAGCAAGGCTTGTCCTTCTATAGGCACACCTTTATCTTTAATAGCAAGTTCTACCAGTTTAGCTGGAGCATACTTGAAGTGAGCCACCTGCAATTTCTTGAATCCCCACTGGATCACTTTTTAAAAACTGGCGTTAAATTGGCCACTTGCAGAGGCTAATTTTAGAGATGTGCTACATTTTTTGTTGGAAGATGAGCAATTGCATAGCCGACTTTTTAAGGAGCACGTGGGTGACCACCAGGGTTGGTCATCAAGTTTATTTTCCATTTGTCAATAAGACCTAGAACAAGGCTGGGAAACTCACGGCCTTGCAAATATTTTCTTTTTTTAATCTGCTGGTCTACTTTTACATTCAATCAAGAAAGTGTTTATGATAGCAACATAGAAAAAGAGCAAGACACAAGGAGTTTCCTGGGCGATCTAGTCTGACTTCTGGCACCAGCCGGCTCTGCTCACGACATGCCCACCATGTGGACGTCCAGCCTGTCCTTGAACACCCGCACCGATGGGGCCTCAACGACCTCCCGTGGAAGCCCATTCCACACCCTCGGGGTCCCGACTGTCAGGAAGGGCTCCCTGGCATCCAAATGGAACCTGAATTCCCTGAGTTTGGCTCTGTTGGAGCCGTCCTGCCTTCCTCTGCAGGGGAGAACAGGTCTTCCCCACCTCCGTGTGACACCCCCTCACATACCTGTGTGTTGCCAACAGATCCCCCTGAGTCTCCCCTGTTAGCTTCTATTAGCATCTACTTGCAGTATAAATCCCTGAGCCTCGGCTGACGTGAAGATGGAATGGGGTTGGTCTGAACTGACTACATGCATCCGGGGCTTGATCTGCGAGGGCACAGGTTAGCGGCTAACAGTGCCCCCCATTCCTGCACAAACTGGGCACACAGGCAGCCCTGTCCCTATGCGCCAGAGTCCTTCCAGTAAGAATGCACCCTGCAAAAGGCGTATATAAAGGCAACTTGCACACGGAAACATGGGGGAACAGTAACAAGCTGTGGCCATCTATCATCAAAGCAGCCCCTGGCGTTTCCACTCTAAACGCTCTGGAAAAGTCTGCCTGCCAAGGGTGGTGGCGGCGTGAAGCCGGAGCAGAGAGAGGAGCCCTGATCTGATTCTTGAAGCATGAGCATGTGCGTGTGTGGAGCAGAGGCCGTAGGCAGTGTGTCCGGGGAGGTCCTGCCTGCCTAGCCAGACCTCCAGGTAGCGTGCCGAGCCCCCTTTGCTAAGCGGGAAGGCCGTGGGCCGGCCGCTGGATGGGAGGCCGGATGGGCAAGCAGAACGAGGGCCTTGCAGGCCCCTTCCCACTCAGCTAGTTTTCTGTTCTAAAGAGCCTTCGGAGGAAAGACCACTGCCCAAGAGCTTGGAGAACTGGAGCCATTTGCCCGGGCTTCTTCAGACTGGATTCCCGCAAGGAGCCAAGGGAGCCTCTGCAGCTGCGATTCTTTGAAAGGGACGAGCTGGGCTGGCAGATCAGTGCTCTTAACTGACTCTTCAGCAGCTTTCCCTGCTCGGTTCCCCGCAGGTCTCGCAGACGCCTCCTTCTTTGGTGAGCATGCATCCCCACATCTCTGCCAGCACGTCCAGGTCCGAAGAGCGCAACCCACGTGCAAAAGGCAGAGCGTGCGGAGGGCCTCCCCCCACAAGAGATCGGGGCCTCGCGATGGGCTGAGCCGCGGACACCCACGGGCAGGAAACACGGGTGCATGACTGTGCGCATGCTGCGGTGGGCGTTCGGCTCCGCACTGTGCAGGAGGCAAGTCAACTTGGATCCTATCCAAATAACCCCAAGCACATTTCTCAGTACATTTGCACCCGACCAGATCACACGCATCGGCTGTGGGAGCGGATCCCCGGCCACAGATTTGTTGCCCGTATGATGCAGGCCTGCCTTCGGGAGCCCCTTTGTCATCCAGTGGCCGCCCTCCCCTCTTTCCCAGTTCAATGTAATATGGATTGCATGCTGTGTGAATCCGTCTGGTAGTGGGAAGATGGGAGTGTTCAGGTCAGATAAACAGTTGTGCGAGGGCCTTTTCATTTAAAAAAAATACTTAAACCAAAATGGATTTGAGCTTCTGACACGCTTGCTGCAGTTTGGAGCCCCAAACATCCCCGCAAGAGAAACAATGGCATTTCCTCTTCTGCAGCCTTTCCATGGAAAAAGGAGAGAGAGAGAGAGGCGCATGTGGCATGCAGCGCATGGAGTGCACTGCCCCTCCCCGGTTCCCTGCAGGGGCCTGGCCAGAAAGCCCGGGGCTCTGACCCCCACCAGCCACCCCAAACGGGACCCTTCCACCGCCCTCCAAAGAAGAGCACAGTGCCGCGAGGTCTCGCCCTTGTCTCTCAAAAGGGCGGCGTGCGTTGCTTTGCACGGTCGGCAGTTGTCCTGCTGCGGATGGACAGATCGCGGCTCAGTCGCACTCGCTGTGGGGCCAGGATCCATTTGTCAACTCCCACGAGGCAGATTCTGTGGGGCAGGCAAGGCTTGCATCCCGAAGCACAGTGCACGGAAGGGCAGGCCATGCAGCCCTCCGTGCCAACACCGGCAGGCTTGCGCGAGAAATCGCCAGAGCGGCCTCCTCGGCCTCGGATGTCGTGTTGCCGGCTCAGCCCTAACGCTTCTCATGGGGGCGCTGGGCACTTCATCTGCCCCACCCGCACCCTCCAAGCTCAGGGCAGCGGTTCTGGCCACACCTGTTCACCCCGGGAGGGACGTCAGGTGGAAGGAGAGGTGCTTCCTCTCTTAGCGAAACGGGGCCCCTTGCGGAGCCGCCCTCCCCCCTCTGTGCCACAGCAGGGGCTGCCGCAGACTTGCTCCTCACAAGCGCCAGGTTCTTCACGGACAATCAGGTGGGGCTGTGCCGCTCACCCACGTGGATTTTGAGGGAGAGTGGCTGAAAACGTCGGGCTGCTCTGTCCTTGGTTTCTTCGGAACTGCTCCCTCTCTACCCAGGAAGCCCAATTCCTTTCTACTCTCCCATTCTTAACTACGGTGACCAGTACAACTTCATCCCCACCACTCTGTGCCCCCGTCCAAACAGAAAGCAAGAAACTGGTGTCATTTTTTAAACATTTATTATAAATCTTGCCCCAAAAGGAGGCTTATAATAGTACAAAATATAAGTTTTAAACCAATACAAAAAGCAAAACAAAAAACACGATATAAAACAGTTTAGTATACCCAGACTTATGTCCAACTGTCACAAGTTATCTTGTTAACCATCAAGATATTTTTTGTGACAAAACATGGGTTCAATTAACACTTTGGATATGCAGTGCTTTTAAGAAATGGTTGAAAAAGTGCATTTTTCCTCTGTCAGTGAGGGATAAACCAAGCTATTTGCTGAAAAAAATGAGGGGGGGAAAAACAAGCAACCTAGAAATGGAACACCTCCATTTTGGTTCAGTGTGAAAACTACAGTTGAGGCTCAGGGTGCGAACTTGGCTGGGAAACACAAACATTTGGCACTTTTGACAAAACAAAATTGGTCTTCTATGCGTTTGATTCCAAGGAAATGAGGAAATGCATGATAGATTTATCAGAAAGGCCTCAAATCTTGCCCCTGCACCAATGAAGGCCGGCCACCTGCCACAAGTATCCGCATTGGTTTATCCACACAGCACTGACAAAACTAGGTGAGCACACAGGCATAGCGATTCTCTCTCCTTCACAGAACTCTGGCTACTTACATACTTAGCACAAAGACAGAAATCAATTGCTACAGAAACAGTCTTTTTAAATAAGTAGTTTTAGAAAGTGACACTTCTAAGCAGTGTCTTGAGTTGCATTTTCACCGGTACAAAATAACAGAAACAGATCCATTGCTTATTGAAAAAAATCAGTCTCTCCTTTTAGAGGGAGTGTTTATTGCCATCTAAAATTTTCAGCACTTGCTACACTTTTCTATTTTCACCTCTTCCCTTCTTCACCTAGTGCAGATGAGAGAACCCCATCCAGCATCTCCAGTAACACCTACAAGCGTCACTATAACAACTCTCTCCACACATTCTTCTAAGCGTCCCCAAAGTTAAAGTGGTAGGTTTAATGTCTGACTTTTCATGTTTAATGATTCACTTTACTTGGAAAAACACAAATTTAAGCTGCTAAAAAGCTAGTTTTTCCTTATTAAAATCTTCAGACAACCCCCTTGTTAATCTCCAATACAAAATACTATTAACATAGCTGAGGCACCATGAACAAGTTTTGTTATTTAAGTAGTATTTCTTCCCAGTCCTGCTGCCTTTTCATTTCTCCCTGTCCAAAAGAAACACCAAACGCTTTCCCCAAGAGCACTTCCGCCTGCCTCCACCCCGCATCTTGTGTTCGGAGGTTTACTTCGGCACCTCTCATTTTGCTGGGGGCAGTTCTGAAAGGCTTTGGGGGAAGAGGGCAAAGCTCAGGCCCAGAGCCGACCCCCATGGCTTCTCCCGTTGCCTGTGCCACGTATGCAGATAGAGGCACTGGGACGGCCGTTCAGTGCAGTTCAGTTCCCTGCAAGAAGCCCTGGCACCAGGAGGCCTCCCGCCCTCGTCGACCAGGGGCTTCCGGCACGGTGCAATTGCTGAAAGTCCAGGAAAGGCTGGAGAGAAGGACAACTGCATCGAGTTGCTTCTTTGGCCGGCTCACTGGACGTTGCTGTTAGTGGTGCAGGGATCCACCTGGAGTAGAAGGAGAACCAAGAATGTGAGAGATGAAGGCCTGCAGCTCGAATCCCGCTCCTTCCCTGTCATAGTGGATGCACTGCAAGTGGCAAGTGAGGGCAGCTTATGCACACACACACCAGCTCTCCCTCTCACCCCAGTCCGAATGCGGCAATCGTTGCGGAGCTTGCTTCCACCGCTCATCGGTGCCTGCCCTCCCCCACTCCCTTCCCTCCCCCACTGCTGCGTTTCTTAGCACCTGTGAGCAGCAGAATGAACCGGAGGGCCTTTTCTGTACCGCCCCCCCCCCCAGGGGGCTCAGAGGTGCAGCCCAGCAAGGCCGGCACCTCACTGTGATGCAAACTCTGGAGAGAGCTGGGTTTTCCCGCTAGACAGCAGTGGCCTCCCGCACACCCTCCCACTGCCCAAGTGCGGTGCACGCCACCACCGAGCAGGAGTCTCACCTCCGTGTAGGTAGGCGGAGGCATGAACTTGAACTCTGGCGCGTACATGAAGATAGGGCTGTCAAAGGAGTTGTCCAGCTCATCCAGGAGAGGCGTTGTGGGGCTCTCCAGACGATGGTCTTCGTCGACAATGTCCAGGTAGCATGGAGGTGCTGCACAGACAAGACAAGAGGCAGGTGAGTTCTGCCCAGGTGGAGAAGAGCGCTGCTTATCAGAGCTATGTTCCAGGGACAGGAGCGTTGTGCCCAGAGAGCGAACTGGACCAGGCTGCCCGACGTTCCCAGCAGTATCAGGGACAGATCAGCAAGTTCCTTCGGGGATAAACCCGATGCTGCTTGGGAGAATTCCCACCCTCTCCAAATCAGGCAGGCAGTCCCCGAGGCGCATTTTGCTGGACGCCTGGCATGGCCGAGTGTGGAGATGCCTTTCTCCATAGCCTGGTGGAGGCACCAGGACCGCTGCCCCTAAGGAACCCACGCTGCCGTTTTTCCCCTGCCGAGGCCTTCCCGCCCCACACGGAACAGGGTTTATTTTCCAGGCGACAGCGGAGGCTCAGCTCACCTTCGGGGATATCAGGCATGTTGAGGTCGATCCAGCTCATCTCGGAACTCGTCTGGCTGGCCATGCTGGAGCTGCGGCTGCCGATGCTGGAGGACTTGCTGCCGATAACGAGGGGCAGCTCCAGGATGATTTTCTTGGAGCCCGGCACACTGACGTAGATCTGCAATGGCACAAGCACACGAGGTGAGCCCCCGAGGAAGCGACGGCCCTGCAGCCCTAACCACGCTTTTGGGGCTGGGGTGGAGAATGAATTTCAGGAGGTTACAGCAGCTTTTAACAAAGGCAAGGCATCCAGGAAATTTCCTGGCAGACAACTAATTCAGAAGCTATGGGAAAAACAACTGCGAAGTGTCTCAGGCCTGGGATGTCAGGCAGATTCTGGGGTTGTGCCCTCCCTGCCTTGATTTAATGAGAATCCAGCTCAATAACCTATTTGATTATGGAGCTGTTTAAGTCTCTTCTCCCACATGCCCCCTAGAAGGCAGTGAAGCCCGGCCAAGACAGGGGTTTGCCTGCCTTCGTCCAGCACTGCTCACCCGAAGGAAGTACTCCACGCGCAGGATGTGGCAGCCCAGAATGGATGGCTTGATCTTCTTGACGCGGAGCGTCTTGCCACGCCACGACTCAGACATGCCAGAGACGATGTGATTGCCTCTGACGCAGGAGAGTTTCTGGGAGAAGACCTTCGTCTGCCCGTTGGCCAGGTAGGTATGCTTGGCAACGATGGCGGCCTTGGGCACCACGATCCGGGAGCAGGTGTTTTCAAAGTCAGCGTTGATACAGATGTCATCACCTGGAAGAGCAGTGGAGGAGAGGGACTTAGTTGTGAAAGAACTTCTTTTAGGGTCTACAGCAGGACACCCTGAGAGTTTCCAATGTCCCATGAATTACTTCAACCCCAAACAACTCTCTTTGTTGTCTACAAGCAGCAGTCCTTGAGTTAAGCTTGGGCTGCAGAAATAACTAGAAACCGCAGATAAAGCAACCAGCAGTTTCAGAACATTCGTAGGGGAGCTGGGCACTTCCTCCGCCAGCACCCAAGTGAGAAAGGAGCCAGGCCTCACCTTCGCAGAATCCTTTGCGGTCGATCCGGGCACTAACGGACACGTGCCCATCAGGGATGAACATGCAGGACACCTTCTTCTCCTTCTTGGCCGAGACCGGCAACTGTAATAAAACGCGCAATTAGATACGGTCGGGCTGCTGCTGAAGTGTCATGTCTGTTCACTTGCACCCTTTCTGTCCTTTGCCTGACCTTCGTTCTATCAACTCTCATTTAGTGCTTGATAGATAACTAATTCTCCCCAAGGACCCTTGTTTCAATAGATGCTAAATGGGCCACTTAGACACAGACCGTTAATTTCAGGCTGAAGGTGAACTCTGAAGCAACAGGGACCAGGCAAAACAAGATACCCAGGCATTTAAGGTCTGCTTCTTTGAAGAATAGCCCACTAAGAAGCTACCCAAGCCCTTGCCTGACAACTGAATCACAGAGACTAAAAAACAACTCCCAGTGATAATTACCAGCAAGTCTGGACTGTTGACGTCAATCTGATCCATAACCTCAAAGTGCTTTTTTATCTCTTGAGTCAGAGAATTTGGACGATCCAAGAAAGCCTTTACCCAATAATCAACACAGCCGTATTTGCCCTTGAAGGTCGTGCCAAGGGGCCTGGAAGAACAAAAATATTTATTAGGCACAGGAAGGTAGGAATGAAACCACAAATTTATCTATTTTCAGACTGTATTTTAGTGGCCACATTTGGCCAATACCTACCCTTGAGGCAGCTTGAATTCAAAATTGTATTTGTAGGTGTTTCCTGGTCTTAGAGTCATAGAACCATCTTTATCTAAAAAAACACCAAAAAGAGAGAAGCACGTCAGTCCCCTGGAGTTATTTAAAAATATTCAAGTACATAAACATAGAACAATGTAGACAGTAGAAACAAGGCTGTCATTGAGAAAAATATGTTCTATCACTTTCTTAAAAAGAACCTGTCAGCATTTCAAGTACAGCTTTTTTCATTCTCTCAAAACTGGTTGCAAATAAATGAAATTAGGGTATCCCCAAGGCAAAATATTGACACTGCCTTCCTCATGGTGTACCTGCCCAGTAAAAACCCAAAAAATGAGATGCAGCAGCCAGCAAGCAGTGCTTGGACTGGCTCTGATCTGCAGCCAAGGTTCAACAGCCATGCCTTTCATTTACAGTGAGGTAGGAAGACTCCCGCTGCTACTAGGGCATCGCTATCTATTAATACATCAATTGCCCACTGTCCCAGCAGAGTGTTCTCCCGTGAGCACTGCTGGGACATCCTGTACTGAGGCCATTCTTGAGCGCAAACTTAGTAAGGGAAGTAACACCCAACTGCAAGATGCCTCCGCTAGGTTATAAAAAGGCGACCCAGCATCTCACAGGGATCTTTCGTAATTCCCCTCTGCTTTGGGTCCCCCGCCTCAAAATCCGCTTTGGTGCTGAGCTCTTGCATCTTAGACCGAGGCTGTAGTCCTGGGAGCAGTGACTAAGCAGGGATTAAGTCCCCTGCCATTTTCAGGAGCTGCTGAAAGGGGAGTTGTTGTTCCATTTCCATCCCATTTGTGTCCCCGCTGCAAGCGCTTCCCATTTCATTGCAACAATCCTAATGCTGGGACAGATGCCCAGACACCAAAAAAGCAAGCAAAGGGTGCCCCAATTCTGCCACCAAGCAAATTCCCAGCCCGCCTTCCCAACATCCCAAAGCAAACCTTCTCCAACCAACTTGCACTCCAGGCCACTCAAAGGCACAAATCCTGGAGTCAAAAACAAGGCCAAAATCCAAGCCAAGTCCTGCTTAGTGCAGCCCTAGTTCCACAGCTCTACCTGAAGGAGCACTTCTGCTGGATTTTATGCCAAAGCAGCGATCCCATGCATGCCTCCTTCAAAGCTAGCCCCCTGAACTTTGCTTCTAAGAAGGACCCCGCAACAGATCATGTGGTGATTCTGCCACTCTCTGGCCATCAGGACTCCAGGAGCGGCTCTGAGTGTTTTGCTGCTCTTGCTACAAGCGCGCCCAGCCCCAGATCCCAGGGGTGCGGGCAGCCCAGCACCCACGGAGCGACCAGTGATGCTCACCCACGGGGTGGTCAGCCGGGGTGAGGGCCTCTTCGTAGCGGAGGTACTCCATCTCCTGCTTGCACTGCTGGGGTCCCTTGATCCACAGCACCCGGGCCACCCCGCAGGCCAGGATCCTGACGCTGGAGACCCGGGTGACTTCGGCCACTTCCACCAACACGGCGCCGGCCACGCTCTCCCCGCTGCTGTAGACCTTGTCGGGCTCGCTGAGGGCCAGCTGGAAGGTCTTGACTCGCTTGAACATCACCATGTTTGCACTCGCACCGACTGCACTGCACTGCACTGCACTGCGAAGCGCGCCCGCTCGCTCCCTCCGCTCAGAAGCTAGACAAGCCTCCGCTGCAATTTGGCCCAGCTGCTATTCCGGCAGACCCTGCCCGAATTCGCCGCAGGTTAAACCGGGAGGGGAAAACAATGCGAGCGCGTCTCAAGAACAAGCTGCGGCCAAGCGCGCCCGGTCCCGCCCCGCCCCGCCTTTGGTCTCGTGCCGGAGCGTCTCCTCGCCTGCAGCGCCCCAGAGCAACTGGCGTCGTCACCCGGATGCGGCCCTTTATACCCGCGCGCGCCCGCGACGCCGCCCCCCGGTTGTTGATCCCACGAAGCGCCATGCGGCCGGCTCGTGTGCCCTCGTGCTCCCCTCGTGGACAGCGCTCCCATTGGCGGCCCCGCCGTGTTTACAATCCCGGCGGCCAATCAGAGGCCAGCCGGCGGCGCGTGGACAGCGTGTGTAGAAGGGATGCCGGCTCTCTGGGAAAGAACGAGAAGGCGGGGGCCGCTGGAACCCTCGGGGGCGGGGGAAGGGGGCGGGAGGCGGGGGAGAGAGCGCTAAGTGACGGGGCGCCAGCCAGTGGCGAGGGCGAAGGGGCGGGGCGGGGGGCGTCGCGAGCCAATCGGGCGCGCAGGGCGGGGGCCGTTGCTGTCCCTGGGGGTCGGGGAGCCGCTTTCCGGCGAGTGATGAAATGCCAGCGGCTTCATCATCTTCATCTTCGTCACCGTCACCGTGCATCGCTTTCGATTAGGCGGCCCGCGAGGGGAGCTGCCAGGGCCCGGCCGCGCCAGCGACCTGAGGGGAGTCGGGGGGGGCGTCGAGCCAGGGACAAGAGACCGAGACACGGAAGCCCCCGAGCCTCTCCGGGGAAGGTCCGCGCCCGGGGCCGAGCGCTGAAAGGTGCCCTGTGGGAATCGGTGCTTCGCGAGGGGTCCGGGGGTAACCCGAGCCCGCCCGGCGAGGTTGGCACGACTGTTTGGGAGGAGGAAAAAGGCGATTTTTGAGACCCTTCGTGGTCAGCCCTACCCCCAAAATATGCTTAAGTCCTCACGTATCTGTAGTTGTGTGGAAGGGAAAGTCATAGTTCAAGCAACAAGTCCTGTACATAATTTTTATACTGCGCATTCAAAGAAAAAAGGTTAAAATAATATAACCAGTGAGGACCAGCTCCAACACCTGGGGCTAAAAAGCCAGCTGAAATTTAGAAAGTGAAAGACATGCGATCGTCAAACAGGCTGCTTTTTACATAAATATGTAGCATATCTGACACTGCTCAGTTCTATGTTTACTTCCAAAATGCATCATTTATTTGCTTTTTTACAAACGGATTACATTAATAACGTACAGTGTTTCCAAATCAATGGAATAAGTTTTGGTATTTTTCACAGACACACACCTCTTCTTCACAAAGTAGTGGCACTTTATTAAAATTGTACAATATAAATCCTGACATGGAGTTTCTTTACATCAGATCGTTTAATTTGACCCACCATTTTTACTCCTCTTTTGCTCCCTCCATTCTGTTGTAGGTCAAAAGTTACGGGTCAAAACATCTGTGAATCAGACAGAAATTGGTCTTGTGACACAGTAAGAACGGATAAATCTGTGTTGGCACGAGCTTTTGAGGACCAAAGCCCACTGCGCACATGTAGGTAGAGGGGGAAACACCAGCAGGAAGCGTTTCTGATGGGACTGAATTGGAAAGGGAGAGGTGCTGTTTTGAAACAGAATATACACTGTAGATAATGCAACTTGTTTGTTCGAGCTGCAAACATACAGCACTTTGAAAAAGTTCAGTACTGAAACATTCAGTGTAAACACCATGAAATAGTTTTCGTGCCAAACAAAAGTGCAGATACCAAGAGCTCCTCCTTCATTTCTTCGAATCTTTGCTTTACTTTCCCTCAACTATGAACAGGGCTTTCTTCCATTATCCTAACTTTTCTTAGGGGCGCTGTGCCTTTCACAAAGGATTGCTTTCCCGGGGAATCCTTTCCAGGACAGTTTCCCATCTTGGCCCAGAATTTTAAGTTCTCTGCACCTTTCTCATCCACAAAGAGTTGCTTTTAGCTAAGTAAGACTACACCTCTGTTTAAGCGCTGCTTTTTAATCTCGGGGGACGAGTGCATTCTGCGAATGACAAAGACGTTTTAGCCCTGGAATGGGCGTGCAGCCAGTGGTGCTTACGATCCCAGGCCCATTCCAGAAATGATATCCTTCTCAAGTACTCGCTTCGATGCCAGGTGGCGTTTAACCTTTGGCTCATTAACTTCAGTTTGGCCACAGCAATCCTGGAAATAGAAATATGCTGAGGTAAAGAGCGATGGTGTGCATTGCAAGACTGGTATTACATGCGCACAAGAGTTGCACTTGCTCAGACTTTGGTTTTCAAGCTCCTTGGAAATGCGTCAGGAATCAATGAAAGCACATAGTTGCCCTGAAAGGAAGCCTGGTGACCAGCCGTGCGAGCGGGTGCTGAGCTGCACTCGCACGTTCGTGTCAGTGGAAAAGAAAACGCCGAGGCCCAAGAGACCTGGCTGGTATTCCCAGCAAATGGACTGGAGGACTTTCCATCCGCTGCAGAGCAGAGATGCCTGCAACAGGGCTTGGGCGTGCAGATCACTACACAAAGTTTTGCTTGAGTGAGTGCTTTGAAATCTCAGTGAACTCGAGGAGAGTCTGGTTCCACGGGCCCTTGCTGCCTGCCCACCACCTGGGGTCATCGGCCGTCGTCAGCTGCTGGGTGGGAAGAATTCCAAGAGAAAAGGGGCGAGGGAGGATAACACCAGGTGCCTCTTTCTGTTCAGGTTGGAGTCCTGCCAGTGGGCAGTAAACCGCACGAGCCCCAAACCGGCCCAGGGGAAAGATCCTCAACCCCTACATACATTAATATGGCTTATCCTGATGGTGCTTTTTCGTGCTCATGTGACTCGTAAACTGCATTGAAATGATTTATTCCCTGAAGAGAAGGGGAATTATTGTTGTTGACCATCATAACCTCCATATGGGTAAGGACAACTCTTCCTGCACTCCGCAAGCACAGTCGTGATGGCATAAGCAATCACAGAAGCGTAGAGTTGGAAGGAGCCACGAAGGCCATAGGACACCAGGTTACACCACCTCACTCAGGTGGCTGCCCAGGTTCTTTCTGAATGTCTCTCGTGTGGGAGAGCCCCCACCTCTCCGGGCAGCTGTCCCACTATCGTATTGCCCTGACAGTGAAGAAACCTGCCTGACAGCTAGCCTGAGCCTGGGTTGTGCCAACTTGAATTGATTATTCCGTGTCCTACACGGTGGCATCAGCAAGAAGAGATCTTTGTGACAGCCTTTGAGGCACTTATTCAGGGATATCGTGTCCCCCCTCAGTCTTCTCAAGGCCGAACATGCCCAGTTCTCTCAGTCTCTCTGCATAGGCAGCATTTCCAAACCCTGGATCATTTTTGTCGCCCTCCTCTGGACTCTTTCTAATTTTTCTGCAACTTTCTTAAACCTTGGTGCCTAGAACTATATTCCAGATGAGGTCTGACTAGTAAGAAGTATAGGGGAACTACTACTTCTCATGATTTGGAAGTAATACTTCCATTACTGCATCCCAAAATAGCATTTGCCCTTTTGGTGGCTGCATCACATTATTGGCTCATGTTTGGGCTATTGTCCACAATTACTTGGATATCTTTTTCAGTTCTGTTGAGCCTCATATTCCCCATCTGGTATCGATGCCTTTGGTTTCTTTTTCTAGGTGGAGGACTTGGCACTTGTCCTTCTTGAACCTTGTTCTGTTGCCCAGCACGAAGCACAAGTTGCTGTCAGTGGCTACTGTTCAACCACTCTGAGTGCAAGTCTGAGCAAAAGATTGTGAAGAGATAGCATTCCTGGGGGAAAATGATAGTGAAAATGCATCTTGAGCAATTTCAGTCCTCCAGATGCTTGTTGCTATAATCCATCACAAGCCAGTCGTGTTATTGCAGTTCCTCTGAACTGATTGTATGGGATGGTTGGCAGCGCATTTTTTCCTTTTCTTTGTACTTAACAGACACGTGGTGCTGATAAAGCAAATCTTTATACTTATTAGGCAAAGTTCAATATTCCTAACCTTTCTAGAACTTTTCGTACCTTCAGTTTGCCGCCACCAATACTGCACCTCTTGGCTGCTGGATGGAGATTGCAGCAAACGTGCCTTCTTATCGCGGCTGTGGTTCCTGTGCTAACAAAAATCCCAGCATGTTTTCAGAATACCTATTTGCAGCCATATAAAGTTTGCATCTTCACAGACTGAAGTAAACCGCTTCTGTTGGGCTTAAGGGATTTATGTTGCCTGTTACCATTGCAGTCTAATCATTCTTCCAATATGCGCCATCTGCTGGGCATACGGGGTAGACCATTGGTAGATCTGAGAACAGAATCTTGACCATGATGGAAAAAGATAATCCCTTTGTAGATATTGAGAATTTAAGGCTAAACTAGACGTATCATTAAACATGTTTTCATTTAATTGCATGCATAGTTGCTTAAAATGGTAACAGCAGTTCCTGGAGGGCTCACAGGAGGCAGGGGCAAAATTTCAAGCCTTTCCTTTTTTTGCTGTGACCTGTATAAATTGTGTCCCTTTAAGACTGTTACTTGAATTGGGTGGAGGACTTCTACTGGTGTCAATGGGAACTTCCTCTGCAATGCATCTATTCATGCACGTAAAGCTTTTTTTACCCCACTCTTCACCCAAAAAGTCTCAGAGAGTGGCTTACCTAAGATCAATAACAAGACAGTTTTAGTCTGCAGGTTTACCCTTTAAAAGACATGGCACAGAGGAAAAGGGGAACAAGGCAGGAAGAGGAGGGGAAACAAATACAGGCAATTCCTAAAGTTACAGAACTCTTAGAGTGGCCAACTTGGAAGAAAACTTGGAGAGAATGAGCAGGTAGACTTCCTGCTGGGCCAGTGGTGCAGGTCCTGCTCCCCTTCCCTCCCTCTGCTGAGGAGCAGCTTCCAAAGAGGGATTTTACTCAAGGCCACAGCAGTGGAGGAAAGGCTTAAACGCTCCCTGTTTGCCTCAGTAATGCTCAGCCCTCCAATAGTTGCTATTAAATGCCAGTCCAGCTTGGCCATTAATTTATTCCCTGAATCATGTGAATTAATGACACAAGCGCAAGTTCACAGTACCTCAGATTCAGCAACCAAGTTTACCCATCCCTTATGTTTGGATTTAGGGGCAGACCTCTTTATCTG